CCAGAGGAAGAAGCTGTTTGTGAGTCTCACTGACTTGAGGGGCCGACCACACCACTGCTGTGTCATCTGCAAACTTCACTATGAGGTTATTGCTGAAATTGGCTTTGCAGTCATGTGTGAGCAGGGTTTAGAGAAATGAGCTGAGGACTCAGCCCTGAGGGGAGCCAGTGTTGTAGATAAAGGATGGATAAACATGTGATGGTGTTGATCCTAACAGATTGAGGTGTGTTAGTATTGAGTTTTTGCAGTATCATCCTTAACTCTGCTGATATCCCACTGAAAGATGAGTCATCCAGGGCCCATTTTCTGGGAAAATCATCACCTGCACCAACTCTCTGTGGCTTTGGAGTTTGCCCATTCTCTGACCCAGGCTAAGGAGACGCTCCAAGCCCTGTTCATCACCTCCACATTCCCAATTCCTCCACCTCGCAGCAGTAGGAAATCCTTTCCACATCACAGTAGCAGTGGACAAGCCTTCCCACGTTGCAGCAGCAGCAGTGACCCAACTCCTTGAGTCCCTCCTCGTTCACATCACCGCCACAGCTAAATCTCACCTCCTGCAGTTCTCGGCCCAACCATTCTTATGGATTTAACCACCATCCTTCTGATCAGCAGATGACCTGCTGAGCTACAGCCACCCCATGAGTGTAACCGTATTAAAAAATGCACACAAATGCTTGGTGGCATCTTTGAGTAACCAGCTACAATGTGGGAAATAGGACAGTTAGTGATATTCTTCTATTACTGACAGTGAACATCACTCATTCACTCCTGTAGGCTGTGGACTGTTCCTTTCATTAGTGGATATGTTGCCTTTTGATTCATTAAATGAACTCACATCTCTCCGTATACTGCTCCAGTAAGCAAGGTGCAAACATTAAAAATTACCACAGAGGAGAATATTGCTGTTGTTATGAACATCCAGGGTGCTCCACATTTCATATTAATGGCCCGCAGCTCCGACTAATTTTGAAAAACCACCCTGGGGAGCAGGAAGTGTTTAGAGACGCTTGATTCAATTCACAGATATTTTACAACAGACTTCAGCTGTCTGTGAAAGGAACTGGATCGAT